GCAAAAATCTGGAAGTCTTGGTTATGTTATGTTTGCTTAACAGTTGCCCCACTTAAATCCATCCTGGATACTATTCATATCAAAGAATATTTAAAATTCCCAAGCTCCTCTAAATCTCAGTAACTGTATTTTTTTGATATAGCAGAATAGTGCATGTGGACATTTGTAATAAACAGGCTATTGTCTACAACATGAGAAATTTTATTATGTATAGTCTCATAATATTTATTTGTTGAATGGGAATTTGACCTGTGTTTTCTTTTTTTTTTTTTTTTCCTTTTTAAAATTTTTTTTATTTTTTTAATGAGTTTTTTGGTGCATTTTAGGTATACAGTACAGTTTTTCCCCTATTACCTTTCCCCTACCCTTCTTATTCTATTCAAACTCTCTTTTTAAAATATGGGTACGAATACAGAAAAATTCATCTCTGTTGTTGTTGTTTGGACACCGAAATACTGACAAGAAGAAAAGTGATATTGAGTTTAATCCCTAAATATGTACTGCACTGAGTAACTCTTCCACTTAATGGGTAAATTCATGTGATTCACCCCACAATACAAATCTCTTTTTGACTCCTTGAAATTAAATAATCTCATTTTCAAAATAACTTGAAATGTCATAGCTCATCCTATGTGCTCAATAAATGCAAAGATATAAGAATCAGTGAAACATCGCAATTTATCCTAAACAGGAATTATATGTTCTCTTAATTTAGAAGTTTTGAATACAGAAAATAATTAAATCCTTGATTATAGGTAAGCATCAGAGGTGAAGAAGAAATCTAAAGTTATCAAAAGATCAAAAGAATTTAAAAATGAATATATCATATTTTGGCCTACATAATTGAACATGTTTCTCTAGTTGTGACAAAAGCAAAGGCTAATAGTACATAGAAGCAGAGGGGAAACATCAAGAAAATAAGAAGCAAGGGGGAAAAGGCACCCAACATGTAGGAGAGAAGAACTTAAGAGAAATTTCAGATGACAAGTTTTATGGAACACTAAATTGAAATACTGATGAATAAGAAGCTGATTTTTTTCCTAATCACCAAGTGTGAGTATGACTTGGTGAAGAATGGAAATGAATCTTATTTCCTAAATTCTACCTACATGATACCAGGATCAGAACAAACTGTTCTCTTTTTTTCAGATTCTCAAAGGAGATTTCCATACTTTATTTGCCACTATTTCTCAGTGTAGGAAAAGCTTTCCTAAAAACAAAGTTTCCAAGTCCTTAGGTAAGACTATTTAGAGAAAGTGAATAATGGATCCTGAAAATTACCAACCAAAGGAAAGAGGCTGGGAGCAGGGGGAGAAGCAGAGAAACTCAGACCCGGGTAGAGGCACTTGGCCACCTAGTGCATTCACAGATTCAGCTCTGCATTCTCATTTCAGTCATAACCAAACATCTTGTCGCTGGTACCCAGCACCGGACAGTGCCATAATAGATGAGAAGATGTGAAGTTCTTGTTTCAGGATAGGAGACAACTGAGAACAATGATGTGTTAGATATCAGCACGGTCAGATCTGCAAATGAAAGAAGCCCACTAGCACAAATCATTTCACATTTTATTAACAGCATGCTGGCAAAGAAACTTGAAAGTGAAATTTTATTCACAGTAACATGAGGCCAGAAAAAAAGTGACCAAAAAAAAATAAATAAATAAATAAAATGGTAAGACAATTCAACAGAGAAAGCAAAAAATATTCTAAAGAGAGACTATGAGCCCAAACTACAGTATTTTTTTTAAGTCTGGGACATCCCTGTTTGACAATTGTATGTTTACAATAAGCCCAAACATAATTGCTCTGATGGGCTGTCAGGGAAAAGATTAATTTGGCAAAGATTAGTATTGACTTGCTGTTTATTAAGGCTTTTAAACAGCTGTATCTGGCAGCATTCCTGTAAGTGGCTGTCATATCTGAAAATCAGCCTCACACCCTGGTGCTCGCCAGCTGTTACTAAACAATCTTCTACCACTTTGAATGTCTTTCTCCAGGCCAAACAGCAAGAGCAAACTATTGCCAAATGAGCCTTTTTCTCCTCCTGTCACTTTTTGGCGTGGGGGTGGGGAGCTTCTAAATACTGAAATGTCAGCTCATGGCTGATGGCTTAGCTGATAAGAGGCACCGGAAACCAGTAGGTGGTTTGGGTGCTGGATGAACACATTCCCCATGTAGCAAGGGGTTATGCTCTTAGTCACCTCGCACAGACAAAAAACCAAAACCACAACTTGCAACTGCTGTAGGTAAAAGGTTTTAAAGCCAGTTAGAAAGTGGCTATATCAAAGGTCCACAACCATCAGAATTTCAAAGTGAGTGTTTTGTTTCCCCAGACATGGCACGTGCCCTATATGCCATGCCTATCACTGAAAGGGGATGTTGGGTGGTGGCCTGGAAGCCAGGATACCACACTGGAACTAGGCAAGGGGAGATACTACTTTGAAAACCATGTCCTTCATGCTTTGATTCAGTGGAAACCTGTAAAATGAAACTCGTTTGAATGTTCTGAAGTCAATAAAAGAAAAGAGCAGATTGAGTTTTTGGCTGGAATAAGACCCAATGGTTTCAAATCCAAGTAGTGTCATAAAGGCAATGGAAAGAATAACATTCCAATGTCATTAAACATCAGACTACAAAGGACCCAGTGTTGCGGTAAGACCCAGTAGTCTTTCCGCTGTGGCTGGTGGTGGAGGGGTTGCTCTCAGCCTCTTTCACGCTGCATCATCCTGGAAGAAGCTGCTGTAGCAGATGCAGAAGGACATTGGCATCCCTTCCCCTTTTCTCTACAGACACTTCCCCATTTCACTCTGTGGCGTATGGGGTGGGAGTTGGCCTAGAAGCCGAGCCTTTCCGAAGAACACTGCCGACGTTTTCCAGTTTCACCTCCACGTAACTTCGTTTTGAAGTCTTTGCTATCCGTGCGATCAGATGCTTGACATTTGAGCCCCGGATAGACAAATGAACCATTTTTCTCAGCCCGGAGAATGGACCTGTCTACCACAGACATCTGAGAGTTCTGTCTCCCTGCTCCTTTTCACACACCATCGTGGAGGGTGATACTGTAGTCGGCCGAGGTGGAACACTGACTCAGCTCTTACAAACAGGAATGAAGCGGCTTTGACACAGAAGACAGAATGTATGTTTGCCTAAGCCCCCTCACCCTGGCTCTGCTGAAGCCCAGGCATAAAAGAGGAAAATCGGGAATGCAAAATTCACTTTAAAAATAACCTATGATCTTAAGTGCCAGAGTATTCTAGGTTCCGAGATGGCTGTGAATTTAAGGGCACCGTGGCCATTTTCTAGAGAAAAAGCCATCTCCATCAGGGCCTCCCCATGCTGATGAATTAATCCAACTGCTGACCAATGCAGAAATACACCTCTTACTTGGCCCAAGGGTACCTTTGTTGACGCAATAGAGTCCATGGCTGGACTCAAAGTGCACGGAAAAATTAATTTTGCTTTTTTAAAAAATTCAAAAGTCAAGGTAGGTAAGGGGGAAACCATTTGACTTGTTTCTGTTTCTGAGACAGTCTTACTAAGAAGCCCAAGTTGGCCTCAAACTTGTGCTCCTGCTTACCCATCCACTGCCCTGGCTCATGTGTATTCTTATCATCTTGCAAGACAATATACAGGTATCTTCATCATTAAGTCCTTTATAGGTCTGATTGCCTCCCATTGGCCTGTAATTCTTTGATTATTCAGATGAGTTAAGTGAGTGTGGGAAGTAAAGAGTTATGCTAATTTCAAGACAGAGTCTAATAAAGCCGATGAAATAAGAGAGGATCCCATTCTGGTTACACAAAAAGCAAGGAAGTTTTCCTCATTGCTTTCAGTCCATTATACCAGAAGCCTAACATTCTTGGTCTAACGCTTGACATGTAGAAACTGTCCCAAATAAAAGTAGCCTGCACTTTTATCCTGCTAGGTTTATCTTTGAGCTAAACCAGTTTTCCCAGCCAAAGGAAAATCCTCAGAAATTATTAATTGTAACAAATTTTGTGGCATATTCTGTCACGCTTTTTTTTTTTTTTTAATCAAAGGAGCCACACAGAAACCTAAATCTGGTATCAGCAGGAGTTTCATATAAGAAGAAAAGAAGAACAGTACATCTTAATGAAACTGCAATTTCCGGGTAATATAATAAAATTCACCTATCTACAAAGCCATCCTACTATTGAGTTGGCTCATTCTCAGCACCTGGTTTCATGCTGCGGTTTTAGCAGACCAACATAACAGAAGTGACAGTCCTTCACAGCATCAGGGCCCTGGGGGATTTTCGACTTTTTTCCTGTCTTCCTTTTTTTTTTTTTTTAACTTTCTCTATTTTCTTTCTCCCTTCTCCCCCTCTTTCTTTGCTCTTCTTTCATAACAGAAGAGAGAATCTGCTACTTTTCATAACCTATTAATTCCCTTGCATCCTCAGAACATTCACCTTCAAAGCACCCACAGTTGGAGGAGCCAGATTGCCTGCAGCAGGCACAAGCCGCCCTCCAGCTTCCCTTTGCTGATCACTTTGTTAATTCCCAGATAAATGAAAGAGAGCCCATTCTCTCTCCTCCCCTCCTCTTCCTAATGTAGACCAATCAGGAGTCTCTAAGGACTTTCCTATATGACTTCCCATTTCACACCACAGATGGTTTAGATAAAAACTATTAGTTTCATTTATTCAAACAGCTTCATTTCACCAAAATGAGCCTATTTTTAGCATGTTGCCTAAAGGTTTGTTTTCACATTTTTGTAGATGTAAAGCAGTTTTGCTGATTTCTCATGCTTTAATCATGTCTTTCCTACCACCCAACAAGCTTTTGGACTAAATGGATCTGATGAACCTTCTAAGAGGGAATGCACTTTTTTAAAAAATGACATTAGAATTGCTTTACAAATTTGATTTATGTATATTTTATACAACCTTTGAATGTTTGCATTTTTCCATGAGGTTAGTTTTGATCATTTCAATTTCAGCATAAGCACAGTATTTGATCTGTCAAACATAATGATGCCAGCTCTTTATCTTGGTTTTATCTTGATGCTGTTACTCTGGAGAATATTTCCATTTGGACAACATACCACACTGGAAAAAAGATACTGTAACTCTTCAGAAAATACAAGTTCAAAGAGAGAAACTACAAATAAATAAGTCAAAACTGTACCCGCTTTTGCTTATTGCTCAGAGTTGATGTAAACTGCATGCTGGATTTTACCTTAGGTTCAGTTCCTCTGGTAACACAAGAAAAAACCCTGCTAAATTATTTAAAGATGAAAATGACAGGTTGACCTATACAACATCAACTCTAGTTGATAACACAGTAAGAACTCTATGGTGGTGTGAAACTTGATAGATTTCTTCAAATAGATGATATGAGTCACCCAACTTGATTCCAACTCCAGTACCCGCTATTCCATCTCCTTTAGGCCTATTTCTGTCTTTATTTTCCCTGGAGATATCACATGTACCTGTGGGACTGGTGCTGAGAGAGATGAAAAGATTCACATTCCCCCCATCATTTCTCCTACATTTAAGGAGTAACCATCAAGATTACCATTCCCACAGATGTGTGAAAGGCACCAAGGACTAACACTATCTAAGACCGACCTAGAGCATGTCAACATCTGAGCCTTATTTTTTGGCCAGTAGGTTTAAAAAGAGATCTTTAATTATTTTCTAACCGACTCAGATATAAGCATAACCATCCATCCTGGATGTGATAGAACAAGGTGATTTTCACTGGCTGTTTATAGTTGTAGACCTATACCCTCATTTCTATGTACATGAAAGGAGGAATGATAGACTAACACTGCATTCCTCAAACTTTTTACTGTATTAAAGGTATATCTTGTAGCTTCAATCCCAGATAATCTAATAGAATTAATCTGCCCTGGAATCTGTGCTTTATAGCTATCCCAGAAGAATCCTATGTTGGTGTTCACAGACTAGTTAAATAAGAGGAGGTCAAGGTGATCTTGCCATTGGCTTTAAAGACTCAAAGACTTAGCCGGGCATGGTGGCACATGCCTGTAATCCCAGCACTCGGGAGGCTGAGGCAGGAGGATCACTGTGAGTTCAAGACCAGCCTGGGCTACACAGTGAGTTCCAGGTCAGTCTCCACTACATAGGGAGACCCTGTCTCAAAAACAAACAAACAAACAAAAAGACTCAAAAACTTGGCTGTGCATGGTGGCACACATCTGTAATACTACTTGGAGCACTTGGAAGGCTGAGGCAGGAGAATCATCATGAGTTCCAGGCCAGCCTGGAATAGGACAGGATAGATAGGATAGTGACATCCTATCTTAAGAAAGAAAGAAAGAAAGAAAGAAAGAAAGAAAGAAAGAAAGAAAGAAAGAAAGAAAGAAAGAAAGACTCTCTGTTGCCAAAGCATAGGATTGGCATAAACTTGAACAATTAGCTTTGAATAATAAAATTGGATGACTAGGTTACCTGACAAAAGCTCTAAGTTTGTCTCACACAACAAGATACCTAAAGATAGAAGGCTACAAGTGTACCGAGCTCATCAATGCTGTCTTCCTCAACATACTTAGTGTGTGTAGGCATTCATCTCAGCTTTTGCTTCCTCCTGCAGTATTCTAGGAAGGAAGAAGAGGAAGAACAAAGAGACAATGAAAAGAGCAATGCCTGTCAGGAAGCCACACACTTTCCCAGAAATCCCCAACAGACTTTCACTTACATCTCCTTGGTCTTACATAGTCAGTCATCCTTTGCTACTCACTGCTCCCTCAATTCAACCAGTGTTCTACTGGCCAGAAATATAGGGAGAATCAGTTTTGCAATAAAATCAGCAACGTCCACCATACCAAATTCCATCGCTCAGTGAAGTTGTTTTCTATCACACCATTCCTGACTTTGTTCTTGAAAAATATTCAGAGATTCCCTGACTGCCAGTTTCATACAATTTACATTTTCTGCTTATCTTCTGTAAGTTCTCTGCTGCTTTTGACAACTATGAAATCCTCCTCCAAGCCTCCTTCTTCAGTCTTACCTCTCCTAAATACTAACCCATAATTCTGCGACCATCAGCAGACAACTCCACCCACACCTCATGATCACTTGCCATTAAATTACCTGAAACAACGTTATGACTTTCCAATAAATACTCAACCCTCCTCTCAAGCTCTCTTTGTTAGAGGATAGCATCCTGACTCTTACCTAGCTTCCTAAGTTAGGATTTTTCATGTCCTTAACACTTCTTCCATCCTTCACGAAGATGGAGCCATTGGGTTTGTTGATGCTAAGTTCTGATTAGCTCACATTTCCAGAATTATTATCCACCCATTTCTCTCTCGACCTTTATCACACACTTCTGCATTTTCCCTGGACCATCACTGACCAAAGTAGTCTCCAAGTTTACAGACAGCTCTTGTTTTCTTTTCTTATAATATTGAATATTATAAACCTATACTATAATGGTATCTCTTGAGGCTCTTCTCTTGCTTACAGATTAAAATTCTAACAGTTAAGCTTATTTCAACCATGCAAAATCAAACACCAATCTGCCTCACTTGCTACTGCTTCTCAATTTTCCTTTCTAGTATTCTAAAATTGGACAACTAAATTTCTTGTCTACCCTAAAATAGTAGGCTATGAGGTTCTGCATCTATAATTACTCTTCCTACTTTCTTCTCATTTTTGAAAACTTCTTCTCAATAACTTGAACATTGCTTTCCAATATTCCATAGCATTTGGTCCACTTTTGAAAGTTTTAAAATATATTATATTTGCCTTTGTGTTTATTTCTGACTAGATTGAGAATTCCTTAGGTATGTTCAGCTTTATGATCTTTGCTGTACCCACGTAAACAATGCTAGGTAAAAATAATAAGTGTATAATAAGTGTTGAATGAATGGTGTGTTTTGTTCTTCCAGACAAAATCTCACAAGTACATGATGGTATTCTAGACAAAGAGACATAGGATCATCCTTTGGAGTCTTTCTAAAATAAGACCTAACACCTAAAATAGGACCTAACACTTACAAATTAACCTCAACACCTAAAGAGGTTGTGTCCTGTTAAAAGAAGTTTGGAGCTTTGCTTTTTTAATTCTGAAGAATTGCATAATGGAATTGCACATGCAAAAATGAACCAAGAACTGAGTTTATGGGGCTAAAAAAGAGCTAAATTGCTCAGGGGAAAAAAAGGGGTGCAGATAATTTTTAAAGGCAGAGAGTATTTTACACAAAAAGGAGTGAGGAAAAAAATGAAAAAGAACGAGCTAATGGAAACAGCCAACTAATAAGAGTCTAAGTCTCTGAAAGAGATGAAACAGCCAATGTTGTCTATTAGTTATATACTTTCAGGATAATGCCAAACATTTTTTCAAGGAAAAATTAAAGTAATGTTCACTGCTGCATTGTGTGCAACACCTAAGACTGAAAATAACCTATATATGCATTCACAGACAAATGGATAAGTTGTGGAATAATCATAAAATGAAATACATTATTGCTGTTAAATATTCCAAAATTAAAATTTTTCAATTTTAATCCCAAATACCAGATAACCTAAGAACATTTAAGTGTAGGAATATTACATTTGAAATAGTTTCCATTTTGATATTAAACATTAATCTCACTCAATATTAAATTTTGAACTCTCTACCCCCACAGTTTCATAAAAATCTTTTATACCCATAAGAATTTACATATACAACTTTTGTAGATGTCCCAGGAAGAAGCTTAGTTGCAGGTCTCAGTCAGCACACTGGGAGAGTGACAACTTGAATAATGTGACAAGATCAAAAAAATCTATCCAAAGTCAGCAAATACTGGGGCCAGAAATAAGAAGATGTATGAAGACTATTCTCTTCCCCACTGCCCAAGAGTCCACTGGAAGCACCAAAAGAGTTCTGGGTTTCCATAAGATACCAATGGGAGACTTTGAGACGCTCTTTCCAGGTCTTCAGGAGCAGTACAATTTCAGATGACCCAGCCACATGCGATGGCTGTGACCTTAATTCATAATAAAGACAGATTTCCAAAGTATTTTGACAAATTGTGACTTCTATAATCAGATTTTCCTGTTTCTTCTGTTTATTCTGTGACAATTTTACATTTTCCCCTATTATTTAGGGTGGCTAGGCTGGAGAAGAAAAGAATAGAAAATTGCTCATTTAATTGTTTTTCTGTTTCAAAGAAATTGTATTCTGACACTGGCTCTACTCAGGCTATGTGCGTCCTGAATGGGATAAAGTCTAACCTTCACACTAATATACCAGAAGGTTACCAAAGCAGAAATCCACACTAACTGGTGGCACAGCCTCTCACCCATGTGGAACATTCTTAGGCAAATTCCTCTTTCTCTAAATTGATTTTTTTCCAAAGCCAGGCATTTGAGATGATTAGAAGTGCTCACATCAAAATAAGTCATTGAAAATGTACTGAAAACGTCTTATTATTACCTGCACAGGTAGATGTGGCTTGTCTCTCAGAGGTTCATCTGTTCCAATTTTGGTCCCCAGGGTGGTGATGTTGAGGTGTTGAGACCTTTAAGTAGTAGGGCCTTGTGGCTTATCCTTCGGACACTGGCAATGCCCTCAGAAGGGATCTGGTGGTTCCCACAGGGCCCAAGTAGTTCTAGTGAGAAGGTCATTACAAGAGTAAGCTCTCCCTGCATCTTTTTCTGGCTTCTTGTCTGGCAATGTGAATGTTTCCTCTTGCATGTGCTCCCACCATTGTGATGCTATCCAGTATGAGGCTTTTAAGAGATGTTGCCATACACTTGGACCTCCCAAACTACAGAATAGATGAAACTCTTTTCTTTCAAAATGCTCATTCTCAGATATTTTGGTATAGTAATGAACAATATACCAATACCGGTACTCTACGAACTCCACTCTCAATACAGTATTTCCACAAAGCAGTAGGGATGAGAGAATGAAATGGGTACAAAAGAGGCATAATACATGAATTAAATGGAAATGTGATTTGACAAGTCATCTTAAGAGCTTGAACGTTTTCAGTTTGTCTCAAGGCCCTGCCAAAATGTATCTTTAAAATGGCCTCATGAGATTGATTCCTCCAAAAGGCCGCACCAGAATGGTATATATCCACACAAGCACCCCTGTGAGGATAGGGAGGTTACAGAGAAACAAGAAGGTCCTAAAGGAGCCACTGATGACAGAAACTTCTAAAACTGGAAAGGGGAAATGATGGTGACTAAAACATTTTAGTTTTAGATCATCTCAGCTCTGAGCAATTCAAATAACAAGTCTCCTCTGAAAGGCTATCTTAATACTATATCTGTAGCAAGCTTAACCTGAGACTTTCCTTCTCTTAAACCTGCCAGGCAAGTAGTTCAAGGAACAAACAGTTCATTGATGAACCCCCCTTTTTTCTCTTTTCCACTGTTTTAATGTCTATGAGTCATTTATTTAATTGAGAATTCTATCTGATGCAGCTATCCAAGAAGATATAATTTGAAAACCAAAATGATACCGATGGTTTTTGTGGAAGAGTGGCAATTTCTCTTCATTTGGGAACTTCAGCCAGGAGAGTGACTGGCTGGTATGTTGGTAGGGGCTTCCTGGCCTTTGACTTTGCTTTTGGTTTATTTGTTAAGTTTTTAATTGGAGCTTTCTGGTTCTCTGTGTATTTTTTTAAAAAAGTGAAATCTCAGAAGAGATCGTTTGACTTCCCCCACATAAGCAAACTTACCTTCTTGCCGTCACTCCCCACCTTACCTGTGTCGGCCTCTCCCCCGCCCTCCTCCTCCACTTGTTTCCCTTCTCTTTCTCATCCAAGTACAGTACATTAAAGAATCGCTTAGGAAAATAAACCTCATTCCTCCTTCAACCGCGTAATGAAGAAACTATTGAATGGCATGATTTTTAGGTTGTTTTTGGAAATTAACGCAGCTTTAAGACTACTCAAATTATTCCAAACTAAATTCTAACCAGAAAGTTTCTTTGTTTATACTGTATCATGGAGTAAGGGAGCGGCATTGAAGGCAATGCCATTTTTAAGAAAAATAGGAATCGGTGCTTACTGCAAAGGTGAGCTTGATGTCTTTACGGTGACATCTGAAAGAGAATTTTCTAATTCCTGCTAAGATAATGCTGGTCCTGGAACTCTATAGTATGTGTTTTTATTCAGCTATATTCAGCATACTGTGTTCTGGGAAAAGACCAAGTGTCTTATTGGGAGGAGGGATGAAGGCTGTTCAGAATCTAAACTGCTAGTCTACTCACCTGAAAGTACAACTCTCTTATAAAAATAGGTGTAGGCCCAAGTGCCATGAGTATAAAAACAAAAAAACAAAAAAACAAAAAACAAAAAAGAATGTGAGAAAGCTTTAGGCTAATAAAAAATTAAAAAAATAAAAACTACCTCTTTGTAATGTTCCTTTGGGACCATATTTTTGTGATTTTTACTAAAATCCATAGTGAAAATATAGTCAATGCTGATTTCTCCTGGCCAGAGTGTGCAGGAAGCTAGCAGACCATGGGCAGAACCAGCCACACAGCTTGGTAGAGACGTGAAGGCTCCAGACTGCACTGGCCACATGTGTTTGACAAGCTATAGTTTTCTAAGACCATTTGCAAGGCACTAGAAAAAGTCCATGAGATGGGTTCAGTGTCAAGAGGCAGGGACTCAAAGACAAGATTGTGTATCATCCAAATAAATTTGTGCAAATACAAACAGGATCCTGCTAACAATTACACTGGACCAGTGGAGTAAACAGGGCCATCATGTACAAAGCAGGTTGTAGGTACATCCTACTTCTCAGCCACATGGTCGATGGACAACTGACTTAACCTCACAGAAGCCTATATTTCTTCATTCAATAAACTTGACTGAACGAATTCCAATACCTCAGGGTTGATCAGTCTACAGAATACAATGAAATGTTAGGTCAAACACTGTACAAATTCAGGATACTGCATAAATGAGTCACCTTTGGAAATGTGTCCTGAAATAGTAGGTTGCATCTGCCCTGGAACCAGAGTTTTCAGGCCTCCACTTTTCACTCCACAGAACAGTCTAACAGTCCCCTGGCAGTTTTCTGTGCCAAGGCTCTGAGCCAAGATTTCTCAGGAAGGCATGTGTTTCTCTGGTCTCTGAACACATTTCACTATCCAAACTCCACAGAGTGGTCACAAACGACTCTCTAAGGGAACACACTCTCCTTGTCATCGTATGACTGCAGACACTCAGGCAGCCAGTGTCCAAGTACTCCATGGTCCCTTAAATACACACCTAGTCTTGGCAGATGACTTTTAAGTCAAAGACATTTAAAAACATCTATTTCAAAAGTCTCTCCTCTTTCCCTCACTTTCTCTGCCTCTAGACATCCAGAAAGTACAATAAAATCCTGAGTATACTGGCACAGTACCCTCAGGTATAAATCATGTAAGTATGGCGATAAACATAGAAAATGACCACACACACACACACACACACACACACACACACACACACAAGTGCAGACACAGGAACTCTAACCCCAAATTAACCAAACATATGTGTATTAGTCAATTTACTATCATTGTACAGAAATAGCTGAGTTGATGAACTTATAAACAGGTTTTGGCTCATGGTTCTGAAGGTTTTAGCCCATGACCAAGTGGTCCCATTGCTTTGGGCCTCAGGTAAGAAACCACATCATGATCACAGCACATGGCAGAGCAAAACCATTCACATTACAAGCCAGGGAATGAGACAGAGGATGGGTTCTCACAAATCCCTTCGAGGGCAGGCCTCCGATGCCCTAAGGACCTCCCATTAGGTCTAAAATCCTAAAAGTTTCACCAATTCCCAACAACACCACCCTGAGGATGAAGCCTTTAACACAAGAACATTTGAGTGACACTGACCTAAACCACAGCAATAGGAAATAATCCAAGGGGAAAGAGTTGCACCAGTTTTTGCCTACAATAAAAGCTAAGCCACATATGGCATGTTTAGTGTGTGTCACAATATGACATCAAGAAGGCTTCTTTCAGCATGGAGGTGCTTATTCTCTAGCTATTCAGAGTTGCACTAGCAGCCTCTTAGCCAGGATATCCCTTGAGAATTCTCTCAGCCCAGAAAGCTGCCTTGCCTATGGTCATAGCCACTTCTCTGAGGCAGCACATGTGGTTGAAATGAAGCCCAGGATCCTTGCATCTGCAGGGCCAACCCAGCCCCACATCTCCAGTTCAACCTTGATGATCTCATAGAGATCATCTTTCTGTTCTTTCCATTTTCCTTCCTGTTCTAGGGGGACCATCTTAGCCACTTTCCTTGTTGCTGAGACACAATGCCTGACACCCACAACTTAAACATCCAGGGGGTTATTTAGGCTCACAGTTTTTAGAGGCTTCGCAGATCATCAGTCTGCTGCATGGCAGGAATGGCAGTGAAAAGGCCTGGGTGAAGGAAAGTTGCTAACGTCACAGCAGAGAGGGAAGGGGAGGGCCAGGAAAGGAGATATATACCTGAATACCTTTCCAGATCATACACCCAGTGACTCACCTCGAACCAGGCCCCACATCCTAACAGGAAGTCAGATATAACTCATGGTCCAGTCACCTTCCAAACAGTGAAGGCTTTGGAGGTGTACCCCAGCTCCAACCCCTATTAGGGGCCATTCCAAGAATATTCCCTAACAACATTCTTACACACATATCTCCATTCCAGAGCCCATATCCCAGGGAACTCAACCTAAGACAATGCACTATTCTCTCTAGTTTCTGTGAGGAAAGAAGAAATACTAATAAATTAAAGATGTGTTAAGCATGTCCCTCCAATTGACCAAGGCAGGTCTCTCCCAGGAGTGAGCCAGTGAGAGACATTCAGCAGTCAGTCTTCAGCCACGCAGCACTCAAGGAAGACACAGGCACATCCAGCCCATAGGATGAGGAGCTTTTCCTACCAACAAGTATGGAATCATTTAGCTGTTATCTTAATAAAGACTTTGAAAAGAAACTGTATATATAATATATGCATATCATATACTATATATGTACGTTCCTTATTTTTAAGGTTGCTTATTTTTCAAAATATCTAACATGGCATTAAACGTCTCTAGGAAAAAAGAAAAATTGCCCAATTCTTATCATTTGCCTGTTCATTTGGGTAAATCTACGTGAGCTAGGGATGGTTCAAAGTCCAAAGACTAGTTCTATATTCCTGTACTTTAATTCCTATTGCACTGAAGAATTTGCTTCTAGCTCTATTCTTTGCTGAGTGCCATAAGGAAGGGAAATCCCTCTCATATTTGATCTTTCATCTTTCTGTAAAGATTTGCATAAAGAATTGTACTGGAAGGTTTCACTCAGTTTTCAAAAAGTTTCAAAATTTGAAAGTAAGAATTCTCTAAACTTGATCAGTCAGAAAGGTATCACTGTAGAAAAGTTGAAAAAATACCCTTCAAGGTGTGCTTTCTTATTATGTACGAAGGCCTATGAGCTCAGGGGCAGAAAGACACTATAGAATAATAAATACTAAGTCCCCTTTTGAAATTACTGTATGCACATAAATCCTTCCTATTAGAATATGAACCATAGTGCACTAGTGATGAAATCAAAGCGAAGTGAATTAAATTCAAGAAATTAGAAATTATTTTTTAGGACTTGCCACATACGATCTTGGTCTATCTTGCAAACTTGAAGGGCATAAACAGGTGACACATTAA